CCCCCCAAATTCACCTCTAATGAGAAGCCATGTTTCGCTCGTTAAGAGGCGTCGGGCAGTTTAACTGCAACCTCCTGACTCTTCAGAGACTCCACGCCAGCTCAAAACTCTTCATTTGTACCTCCAAGATGGCCGGCTCGGAGTTCCGGATCGAACGGGACACGTTTGGCGAGCTCAAGGTCCCAGCTGACAAGTACTACGGCGCTCAGACTGTCAGATCCACCATGAACTTCAAGATCGGGGGACCCAGCGAGAGAATGCCAATCCAAGTGATCAAGGCCTTTGGGATCCTGAAGAGAGCAGCTGCTGAGGTAAACAAAGACTACGGCCTGGACCCGAAGCTGGCAGATGCCATCGTGAAAGCCGCCGATGAGGTTTCAGCAGGTAAACTGGATGAGCATTTCCCTCTGGTGGTGTGGCAGACCGGATCGGGAACTCAGACTAACATGAACGTAAATGAGGTGATCAGCAACAGGGCTATCGAGATACTCGGAGGAAAACTGGGCTCTAAGGATCCAGTTCACCCAAATGATCACGTCAATAAGAGTCAGAGCTCCAATGACACCTTCCCCACTGCCATGCACATAGCTGTAGCTACAGAGGTCCACCAAGTCCTACTGCCCGGCCTGCAGACCCTGCACGATGCCCTGGCTGCCAAGGCTGAAGAGTTCAAAGACATCATCAAGATCGGACGCACCCACACCCAGGACGCCGTCCCGCTGTCCCTCGGACAGGAGTTCAGCGGGTACGTCCAGCAGGTGAAGTACAGCATCGAGAGGGTGAAGGCCGCCATGCCCAGGGTGTACGAGCTGGCAGCAGGGGGCACGGCGGTCGGGACGGGACTCAACACCCGCATTGGCTTTGCGGAGAAGGTCGCCGCCACAGTGGCCTCCCTCACCGGCCTCCCATTCATCACCGCCCCCAACAAGTTCGAGGCCCTGGCGGCTCACGACGCGCTGGTGGAGCTCAGCGGAGCTCTGAACACGGTGGCCGTCAGCATGATGAAGGTCGCCAACGACATCCGATTCCTGGGGTCGGGGCCCCGCTCCGGCCTGGGGGAGCTCGTCTTACCGGAGAACGAGCCCGGAAGCAGCATCATGCCGGGCAAAGTGAACCCCACCCAGTGTGAGGCCATGACCATGGTGGCCGCCCAGGTGATGGGGAACCACGTGGCCGTGACGGTGGGGGGGAGCAACGGACACTTTGAGCTCAACGTCTTCAAGCCCATGATGGTGAAGAACGTCCTGAACTCGGCCCGACTGCTCGGCGACGCTTCCGTCTCCTTCACCAACAACTGCGTGGTGGGCATCCAGGCCAACACGGAGAGGATCAACAAGCTCATGAGCGAGTCCCTCATGCTGGTCACGGCCCTCAACCCGCACATCGGCTACGACAAGGCCGCCACCATCGCCAAGACGGCTCACAAGAAGGGCTCCACGCTGAAGGCCGTGGCCGTGGAGCTGGGCTACCTGACCGAGGAGCAGTTTGATCAGTGGGTGAAGCCCAGTGAAATGCTTGGGCCAAAGTGAACTGTGCAAACAAACACTTCCACGAGCTTGGAAATTGTTGAACTCGATGAAAATAAGTTTCTAAATCCTTACCTCTCAATAAAAACAGCCACAGTTCTGTTTTTTTGTTTTTGTTTTGTTTTTTGTTTTGCATACTTTGAGACTTAACCTCTTATATATTATTGATTTTAAGACCTCAGCATCCAGAATGTGGTGTCTGTAAATCCGTTAATGTACACAAAGTTGTATTCTGTACATTTTAATTTGCATTTTTTTCTTTTAAATATGAATTGCTGTCAAGTTTTTCATGTTTAAAGGATATGCAGATGTGCCATATTAGCAATGTCCCATTGAAAGATTAAAAAGATGTAACTTTACCCCCATTACATTTGTTTTCTTTAAAATGTTAAACCAGTGAAGTATGAGGAGGTAAACAATAGAGCACATTAAAGAGAATATTAAATACTTTATTGTGCACAGTAACAACCAAGGAATAAATGCCACTTTAAGCCTAACAATGGCATTTTATAAACATGCAAAATAAAAATAAAAAAAGAACAAGAATTGGGAAAAAAAACAGCTTGTTTTTTACTTGGTCCAGCTGACTTTTGGAATATCGTAATGCTCCGTAAGATTGTCCAGGTGACGATTGAAATCCTGCGCAGAAATAAAGCAGCATCTTTAAAGATATACACTAAACAGTTGCACATCATTTAAATCAAGGTGATTTTATAGCTCTATATGACAAAGCTAAAAAAAAATACTGGGAACAAAATCTACACGTGATGAATATTTCTCTAAATAAAAACAACCTGAGGTCCATTTTAGATGCCTGGGAAGCAGGACAGAGCTGAGCAGCACCACGCCTAAGACGACTCACCTCAACTCTGTGCTTGTGTGTCTTTGATGCCTTCTTCAAAATTCGCTCCATTTGCTGCAAGAAAAGAGAGAAATTAGCTTTAAAACAAAAGACCAATTTAGCCCCAATGTGATACTTTCTACACACTCATCAATCTAAAACAATAGATTGCTGAAATCTTTTATTAAAAATGTTTACGCAGTTTGATAATCTCATCACTATGAGACAATTTTAAATGCACAGTTGTGTGTGTGTGTCGGTAAACTAATACATCAGTATTTGTTTTCCGAACTTAAGTTATACTTGTGTATGTGCAGGTACTTTAAATTAAATAAAACTGATCAGCTGTTGCATGGTTTCTACCCTTAGTTCTGTAAAATATATCCATAGTTTGCAAAACGACAAAGTTCCTAACTATTGCACCAGTCAAAGGGCTTGTTTGGTTTTGGGAGGGCAAAAGGGTTTGTTTGACTAATGTTGACAATATCCAGTAGCATACTGATATACTTTGCAGTAAATAAATCTTTGCTACTTAGCTTTTGCTTTCTTGTCAGATTTCAGGTGAAACAAATGTTAGAATCAGACAAAAGTAACCTGAGAATTTTTTTTTTTATTTTTTAATGCAGTTTATACATTATTATTTAGCTCAGATGCATTTGGGTTTTGCGCATGGGAAAGATTCAAAACAATCAATCCAGTCTCCCTTTAACTTGTAAAAAAAAACCTGTTTTGTTTGGCCTAGTCTTGCTCACCACTTCAATAATTAAAATTCAGTGGCATTTCATGCTTGAAAAATCTCTGATACGGCTCAAGTGAAACATTTCTGCAAATATAAGTGGACCAAAATTTTTCTACAGTAACCTAAAAGACTCTCTGCTGGTAAACTCAAACGCCTGTTAAAAAGGAGGAGATGTCACCTTTTCTACAAAGGCACTATAACATTCACCTATTTAATTATATGTTACACAAATATTAAGGGCAGCAATTTTAGAGACAAAGGAGACCAAAAAGGCTTTCTGCCAAACCCAATTTTTGCTGTGTGTTTTTATTGTTTGTCCTAAAACCAGTGGCAGCAACCCAGCAATGCTCAGGATTTTCACTTACCCTCTTTTCTTGCATCTTGTCAAAAGCGATTTGTGCTGGTGTCCTTTTGTCGATGTACGCCTTCTTTGTTTTCACCTCGTCGTCGTCACTTTGGCTCGTCACAACCTGCTCCAGGCGATGCTTGCTCTCTTTACTCTTCTTCTTCTTCCTTCCAAAATAAACATAAAATAAAAAAATTGAAAACTCTTTTAGTTATTTCAACCACATAACAGATAACTTGCTTTTTTGTTGTCTCTTCTTACAACAAAAAAATCTAAAAACTTTGTTGAGGAAACTAAAACACATGTGTTGTTAATGCAAAATAGTACATAAGTTTCACGCAGTATTCTGCTTCAGCCAAAATTCACTCTATATTTAACACAAACCTTATAGGCTGGGGCCAAATTTATCTATTTAGTTGATTTAAATTCTGTAAGATGGTTTCCCTTTAAAAAAAAATCATGTAATTTATTGATACATTTTAAGAGATCTATATTGAAAATATTTTCTTTCTTGTTCATGGCTTTTAGTAAACAAAACTGGACAAACATCTGCTTTTTAAAGTAGATAATAAAAGCAATGGTATTAGGCTTGATTTCTAGAAGTCACCTAGCAGATGACCGGTTTCATTTTTAAATTGTGTATTCAAACCAAATGTTTCACATATTACATGCTGGTTTTAAATGATTCTGATAATTGTGTAGAATGTCCTCGTTCAGGTTTGGAGAGTTTACATGTTATAGTTTTTAAACAACAGCCAATCAAAAACAATCAAGGTAGTGAAAAACTAGGTGTAGGTGGAGTTGATGAATCGGAAGCTTCGTATGATTTTAAAAGAATGCGAAACGTTCGAGGCCTAGCTTCTGCTAAAGCATTAAAATGTCATTTGGAGATTTTAAGCAAAAAAGAGTAAGAGTTTCACTAATCAAAAGTGTATTGTTTATATTTCGAAACTTGTCTTGTGCTGCGTGGTCGAAACTACGACTTCTGCTACATGAGTGTCTGTTGGTGCTAATGCTACAAATCCAACATTTTAAGCTTTCCATAAAAGCAATTCATAATATTGTCATAGCGAGACATATTAACACGTATGTGTTCTTGGTTTAAACGCCGTTTTCATGCCTACAAATACTAATAATCACAAACGTTAACAAAAATACTTTGTGGTACTAGCTTACTAGCTAACTAGCTGACTGGCTTCAGAGGCTAACGTGTTAACACCAGCTGTTTTTGAGTTAGCGTCCAGCTGTTGAGTTGTGAAAATGCTTCATTAGCTCTAGAACACCTACTTCTTTCCTGCTGATAGATCTCCAACTCCCTTTAGTTTTAGGGAGCTCTTCTGGATCTGATCGTACTCAGACATGTTCGAGAACTTGTCCTCCGGTCTTCTTCTCCTTTATTATGAAGCCAGTCATCTGAGCGCATCACTGCTGCCACCTAGTGACTTGAAAAAGGAACAGCACGCTTATGAATCCGAGCAGTTTTGCCTGTAGTGTTTCATCCCATCCAGACGGGGGCAATATACTGTCCCCACAGAGCCAAAGAAAGAACGCAGTAAACGGAAGTTGAATACGGTTATGAATGTCAAATAGTAGCGCGGTGTGCTATGTCTTGAGGTAACCCTGAATAAAAATGTTTGCCTACTGTTTGTTTCGGATAGCACCGTCCACTCAATGTATAAAAGGCAGTGCTTATTCTGCGTTTCTGAGCAGAATAAGCACTGTAAACAGGATACAGACATGTGGATATGCTAAGAAAGTTGGTGAGTAAATGCAAAACCTCTTCTATATGCTAGTTATTAACTATCCTGTTAAAAGTAACCCCTTTATACCTAACGTAATGCAGTGATCTTGTGTTGCATGCCATTAGACGGCAATGTTACATAGCCAAATGTTCACTACTTTTTTTTTCTCCTGCGATCTTAATTAAGTAACTACTTGTAATCAAATATCAGACATAATCAGATCTTGTTCACCGTCTTTCAGTTTCCAAAGGAAAAGGTAAAGGCATGGTGAAAGAAGAACTGAAAGGTCCAGAGGTGTGTAAAGACCCAGTCAGACTTACATCATATGCAGTCGGAGTTAACATCTACAAACAAGGGGAGGACCCTAAAATAAAGCCTCCAGAGGAATATCCCGAGTGGTGAGTACACATGTCACTGTCTTCTGCACAGTTTAGATATGATTTTGATCAGTGTTGTTCCTACTAAGTAGTACTTAAAAAAATGTTTGGCATTTTGCACGATTGGTCTTTCACCTTATAAAACTCTGTCCTGTTTTAGGAGAGAGCTGTATAGAATACTGACAAACATTCTTAAACAATGTAGGAAATCTTTTAAAACTTCTCAAGCTAACATTTCTGCAGATCCCACACATCCTTAACATAAAGTGTTGTCACCTTCAAGTCAGCGCTACAGACTGCTGTGTGAAAAAAAATCAGCCACCGATGAGAAAGTTTCTCCTCCCAGGGTGTCTCTGAGGAACATAGTGATCGCTTTACAGTCTGAGCAATCATCTACTCTGCTGTACATAAAATATGCTTATTTGCAATACCACACCCTGCTTTTCTTCATAAACATGCCTGTACAAACACATACACACACAATGTGCTTTTAGTTCCTATATCATATATTAATGCTTGTAGACTGAGTGTGGAAACCAGAAGTCAAATTCATCATGCTTGCACACAAACTTGGTCAATAAAGCTGATTCTGATTCTTCTCATGACAAAATCAGTGCCATCTGAGCCTGTATTGTTCACAGCAGATAGACATTCCTGGACATCGTTTGGTCACCTGTTAACTTCTTCTTCTTTCTCTTCTCGCTTGTTCAGGTTGTTCCAGTTGAACTTGGGAAACGCCAAAAAGCTGCACGAGTTGGAACCTGACACTTGGCAGTACTGGAGGCGTCTGAGGAAGGAGAACATGTGGCGCAACAACAAACTGCGCAAAGGGCAGAAGATGTAAAACATGGACTCTGCTGACCTGCAGCTTGTCTGTGTTTCAGGGCACACTCTGGTGTGAATAAAAGTGATATGACTCGTGTTCACAACTCATGTCTGTAATGATAAGGACTAATTGTCACATGCCATTTACTCACCAGGTCACCTGAAATCATGTGACATTGAAATTGTAGCGAAGAGCTGAACAAATAAGTGGATTTCTTTTCAGGTTGCTGATGTTGAGGAAAGGCTCTACCCAAAGTGATAATGGAGTCCAGTTCAATTAAAGATGTTCAGTACAAAATAGTGAAAGGTTCTGTTGGATAACAAAACTTCAGATTTACTGCTATGATAAAATATGAGACATGAAAAAGTATGTTTTCATTTCTGTACTTGTGCTTTGGTTTTCTTTTATAAATCATATTGACTGCACCATTCTGCCTGCCTCTCACTAATTTGACACAGAACTTTGCAAATATCCCAGATAGTGGTAAATTAGGTAAATGTTGGTGTATGATGTCTGTTAGTCCTCGTAGCAATACAAAAATAAATTTTAATTCAAATGCATTCACACCCCTAGATTTATTTACCTGTTTGCTCCTAGAAACGTCGGTGCATTTTGGGAACTAATCGATCAACACAATGTAACGCATGTCTGAAGAAAAAGAACAAACACACACACGTCTTGTAACTTTTTTACAAAATCTAAAATGTCTGCTGTATCTTTGTATTGACACACTCCCGCTCTCCGCCACCATCTTTCCTCTAATGCCTCTAAATCAACTGCAACCGTTTAACTTCAGAGATGTTCTTTTTTAGTAAATAGAAACCACCTGTGCAGTACTTTATATATGCATCTGCTTGTCGAGGCCTGAAAAAGGTTGGTTGGGGAACTTTGTTGTACGAACATAAGGTATGCAACACTGCAGATGGGTCAAGGATAAACTTGCAGAGTTGAATTATAAATCAAAATCCCCAGCACTGTTCAGTCCATCATTTAGAAAAGAAACACTGGAACAACTGCAAATCCAGTAAGACCTGACCGTCCCTCTTCAATGACAATGGCTCAGTAAGCATTAATTAGAGAAGCAGCCAAGAGGTTTGGCAACTCTGGAGGAGCTGCAGAGATGCGCTTTACAAACCTGGCTTCATAAAAAAAAAAAATGTGGCAAGAGAAACCCATCGTCGTTGAAAAACCTCTGTCCTGTTTGTGTTTGACCATGTTTCGTGCAGGGAATTGTTCAAAAGGCTGCAGAGCAACACTGAGCATCGTCCAGGTGAAACATGACGGTGGCAGCGTCATGCTGTGGGAATTTCTTTCTTTGTTTGTTTGTTTGTTTGTTTTCCTCAGCAGGGGCAATGAAACTGATCACAGCTGAGTCCATCCTGGACTGTGCATAATTACATAAAGCCCTGTATAAACATATAAATTTGGGTCGCTATTACAAACGCAGTTCTGACGCCGCTTTTGCGAAGACATTTTATTCTGAGACCACTCACTCGGTTGGCTTTTTGTCTGCGGTCTGACAACCTGACGCTGTTCGTTTTGAATGCGTGGGGATGTCAAACATACACCGTAAAAAAAAAAAAAACGTTTTTATTAAACAGGACAGTTTTGAGTACACTTTTTTATTTTCTTTCAAGTTGAACCATCCGAATGGCGTAACCATGGAAACGCCTCATGCAAATAACCTGTAATACGTGCCAGGGATGGCAGGAAAAAAAAAAAAAAAGAAAAAAAAAAGAGGAACCGAAATGAGAAGCAAACTATCTGGTGAAGCAAATGGGGTTAGATTAGGAGAACGACAGGGTGTTAAAACAAATTGCGGGGAATTATCAGTGTGACTCAAAGGCCAGCCGCTCCTCAGTCACTCGCTCCGAGGTTTACCTCCAGCTCGGACTTTTCTGCTGAAGTCAAACTCAGTTCTCGTTGCTTTCAGCGCGGCTCATGGCGGAAGCGGCGGCTCAGCTGTGAATCCGGACCGCGGCGTCTTTTTGTTCGTTTTTAAGTGAACGCCTCTCGTCTCGTGAGTTTTTGTTTCCCCCTGACTTCTCGCTCTTTCGTGCTCTTCGGGCGGGTTTTTTTGTGAACTCTTCACGCCGGTAATTTTTTTTTCCCGGCTTCGTGTATTTGCGGCTGTCTTCTGCGTTGCCAGGTCCGGTGAACTCGACGCATGCAGTCTTAATCTGTGTCTGCGTCTGGGTTTCTGAAGCGAAGGGTTAAAAAAAAAAAAAAAAAAAAAACGGGATTAGAAGATTGGAAAAACAAAATGAACATCAGCAGTCTCGGCGAAGAAGACTTGAACAAGCTGTCGAAGTTGCTGGACAACTCCAGTTGTGGATGGAGGCAGCTGGCCAGCGCGGCGACTGAACACCCGCAATTCCGCTGCAGGTGAGAGACCCTGAAGGCGCCTCTTGTGATCAAAACATTTCATCAAAACCCGTCTTTATTCCATCTTCATCCAAACGTAAAACCTGTTAGGAAGGGTTGCCGCTCCCGGTGTGCTCACCCTGATCTACTATGTTCTGCCTCCGCAGTGAAAAGGAGCTGACCACCTGCTCCATTCAGGTGCTGGACGCTGCAGGCAGCCCTGCCCGCACACTCCTGGCGTGGTTAGCGGATCGCGGCTGCACGCTTGACTTCCTCCAGCACTACCTGAGGAGGATGGACCACCAGCAAGCCCTGCAGTTTCTCACCACTGCAGGTAAAACGGGAGCCGGCAGGCGATTCATTCAAGTTCTTTTTGACATTTCAACAACCACAAATTTAACACATTGCATTGAAATATTTAGAGATTTTGTGTGTGTGTGTGTGGTGTGTGTGTGTGTGTGTGTGTGTGTGTGTGTGTGTGTGTGTGTGTGTGTGTGTGTGTATGATAGGCATTTACAAAGTAGTGTAAATAAGAAGTAGAAAGAAGAAGTCAAAGGTAGAAGTAGAACACAGACAATTAATTATCTTTGCACAGATGAGAATCTAAAAAGTTCGACCTTTCCTTTTGTACTCTGCAGGGTCATGCTATAAAACATCTCACCCATGAATCAATCATCTAAAAATGTAGAGAGTGCGGTACAATTGTAAGCCTGTGACCTAAACTAATTGACTGGGGAGAAATATTGAGTCTTGGGGAATTTGGGTGTGAGAATTTGTTGGCACAATTCTCACACCCAATATATTATATTGACCTTAATCTGAAAAGTGAAAGAAAAGCCAAAAAAAGAGAGAAAAAATTCCCCTCTGCAGATGCGTACATTTTTTCTGAGTTTGAGCTTTTTTGAAACCAAAATTGTGCAAACATTTGTTGCAACTGTAGAAAGAGACAGTTCTACAAAGATTTGACTCTAAGGAGCTTTTTAGGTTCTTATTTGTGGGGAAAAAAATGTAGCATTTTGTTTGTGATACTAATGCAAAAGTCATACTATCACAAAAGTGGATAAGATCTATTGCTGTTAATGCTCCTAATATTTTCCTTCCTTGCCATCCTGCTCATTGTGTGTTGTGGCAAGATAACTAATAGCCAAATGTATCTCTGTTTAATGTCATAATTTAATGTTAGGGAAACATTAAATTATTAACTACTTATTAAAAATCCCATCAGAGAGAGAGAGAGAGAGAGAAAGAGAAAGAGAGAGAGAGAGAGAGAGAGAAAGAGAAAGAGAGAGATCAAAAACCTTTCTGCACCAAAGCTTTTCTAAAGCCAGAGGATCAACATTTCTCCCTTCACTACTTGTGAAAAAATACTTTCAGTTTCTTTTTTTTTTTAGAGCAAACATCCTTAAATATACAAACTAATCTTATTGAGTTATAATTGACTTCCAGAGTGAAACAACATAAAGAGAAAATGTTTTAGATCCTGTGCTCCTTTATAGTTTGTGAAATTTGACTTTTTGATGTGCTTCATCATACTACTTACAAGTTACTACATGCTATGCGTAATGGTGTGTTTAACTATCTAATGCTGGAACATGTCTTAATAGAAATAGTGTGTTCCTTCACGTAATCCTCGCTGTTCATGTTGTGTGCTTTTGTTTAGCATTGGAGCAGATCAAGATCACAGTCCAGCCACAGTCTCAACAGGCTCCTCTGGGGAGCAGGGTGGTTCTGACATGCAGGGCCTCTGGACCTTCTGGACTCAGCTACCAGTGGTTCAAAGGCAAAGAGGAGGTCAGAGCAATGGCTTATGAATCCTTTTTAAAACTCCTTTGTTTCTTGTTTTCATCTAAGTCTATGCGGATTATTTTCTTGCTTTAGATTTTACACGAGACAGGAAGTTTGCCAGAGCTGGTTCTGTGCCCTTTGGGTCCAGCCCACCAGGGTCACTACATCTGCAGGATCAACCATGGAGAAAAATGCATCTTCTCCACGTGGGCTCATATTCGACTGCTTCATTCTGCAGGCTCCAGCTCAGGTAAGCCTTTCTTTTCTTTTACTTCCTGCTTTTCCCGCTTTTATTGCATGTGGTGCAGTGTGACGGAAAACAACTGTGATGGCAGGCTGCAGCAGTATGTTTCCAGTAAGTGGACTGCGAGTCAGTCAGCAGCCCAGCTCCCAAGCAGCATCCGAAGGGGATGTTTTGGTCCTGAAGTGCAGAGCAGAGGCTAACCCCCCTCCCCAGTATGAGTGGTATCACAACGAAATGCCCATCCCTCAACAAAAAACATGCTCCCTCAGGGTAAGTTCACTTAGAAAACCTACAGTGAGATAAAGTTTAATTATTGTGCACGAATGCCTTTTATTGCTAGTCAAATCTTCTCAGCTGGACAACAAAGAGCAGGGTTTTAGAACTATAGTGCCTCGCAAAAGTATTAATACTCGTTGAGCTATTTTGTTACAAATGAATGTTGAAAGTTGGGACACTTTGTTATTGGATGTTTTACTAATAGAGGCCGAGTTTTCCATGCTTTGACATGATTTCTTTGTTAGATATGATTTAAATGACTGAAGAACAGTTATTGTCAGTCTATGAAGTAAAATGTTTTTTTGTTTTTTTTTGACTGAAATAAGATCAATAATACCAATACAAACTCAGGTTAACTTTCGTAATAATTAACGATCCTGGATATGTTTCATAACTTGAACAATCTGGAATTGTGTTGTAATAATATCTTTTTTGAAAAAGAAAAAGGTTTAACTGCTTTAAAATTGTTGTTTTTAAAATAAGGAAAGTTTAGTCACTGTAAATTACAAATTGGTTTGTATTAATTAAGAAACAAAAGCTACCCTATAACCATTATCTGAAGGAAATAATTTTCAATGTTCAGCAAATGTTTTTCAATTTAAAAAAAGTCAAGGAATATTTTAAAGCATAATTCTGCTTTTGGGTATAGGTTCACAGCTTTTGTTGTGTTCTGACCATAGAGCAACAATTAGGGCAAAGTTCTCATGCTGAGTCTGAGCTTTAAGTTGCTACCGATCTTGTTTTAGGCAGCAAACTGACTACATTTTGAACTAGAGAATATATTGGTGCGTAAAAAGTTTAGCTTAGTTGTTAGAAACTTTGTTTCTGTTATTTGAAATTCGTTTGGAAAAACCTAAATATTTTCCAAGTTTTGTAGCTCTAATACTAACTCTTGGGAAAGATGTGATAGTTGGTAATGGATTTTTCTCGATTTTCTCGAGGCTTTCAAATGGTTTCTTTTTACCTGTTTAGTTATGTTATTTGTCCAAAGTGGTTTTGGTTTTGGACTGATTGTCTGGGACAATAGCAAAAACTTTCCAGACTAAAGTCATGCAATGGTTTTGTTTCTTTATGAGCTTGTTTCTGCAAGTTGTTACTGTTTCCTAGATCCCAGGTGTGACCACAGAGCACAGAGGGGAGTACAGATGCAAGGTGTTCAATTTGTATCATGAGGCCTGGAGCGACACCGCAACAGTGACAATTGGTGAGGCAAAAATACTGTTTTCTCTCATCTATCACTTATATTGAAAAATCTCCAATGATTATTATGCTTGAGTGATTTTGACAACATACTGTTGTCGTCAAGTAGTGCAATGAATATCTGACACTACACATGTTCAGTTTCACACTGAATTTCAACCATTTTGTAACAGCTAACTCTTCCTGTTTTGTTACACAGGCCCGAGTTCAGTCACAGACGCCTCATGGGTAGAAGTTGATCGGGGGTTAGGTATGTCGTACTTTCTGCTAGAATATTCAGGGGGAAATATAGGAACTACATCAGTAATATACTTCCTCTACCCTTCATTGTACCGTTATTCCTGTTTCTCATGTTCTGTTTGTCAAAACTGTGACACAGACATTGGTATGCATCTTTCCTTTTTTTTTTATGTCGCCAGAGTCTCAGGAAGTCCAGAGGTCGACGACCAGATCAGGAGTAAATCCAGTGCAGCAGATGGCCTGTCCTCCCCCAGCAGCCAAGAATTTCTATGGTTAGTTTTGCGCAAACTACACAGAGTATCTCCACATTCAAAGTCGTGGGTTTCATGGTTCCACAATCCTATTCTACTCAGCTACAGACAAAGTTGCTCTCCTGATTGGCAACATGCACTACCACTACCACCAGCAGCTGAGTGCTCCCATTTCTGACGTCCACGAGTTGACCAACCTGCTCAGGCAGATGGACTTTAAAGTGGTCTCCCTGCTGGACCTCAACTGCCAGGAGATGAAGAGCGCTGTTAGTGAGTTCCTGCTGCTGCTCGACAAGGGCGTTTACGGTCAGTCCCCTTATTTCTCTTCATGCTTCGAAAGTCTGTGTCCAGCTACTTAAAATGTGGGATGAGTGACTCAACCCTACCCAAACCCATAAATAAGCTAAAGGCTAAAATCACTGTGACACCCATACCTACAATAATTTTGATATTGTTCTTTACTTCTGCAGGGCTGCTGTATTTTGCCGGTCACGGCTATGAGAACTACGGCAACAGCTTCATGGTTCCTATCGATGCTCCGGCTTCCTACACATCGAAACACTGCTTGTGTGTGCAGAACATACTGACCAGGATGCAAGAAAAAAAGACTGGACTCAATGTCTTCCTGTTGGACATGTGTCGCAAAAGGTATGCCTTAAGTTAGTCATTAAAGAGTGTGTGTATGCCATGCATCTTACTTTTGAAATCCCATCTGTTCCTAGAAACCCAAACGATGGGTTGATCGTACAACCGGGAACACTAAAGGTCACAGCCAACATAGTGTTTGGTTATGCCACGTAAGTTGCTGGTTTTGATCTCTTGTTCTGATCCAAAATTGTTGTCTGTTTTTTAGCGCGTTTTTCTTATCACTTGTGTGTGATTTACCATGTGTAGATGTGTTGATGCTGAAGCGTATGAGGTAAAAAGAGAAGATGTGTCAAATGGCATCTTTATCAGCTTTCTCAAACGGCATGTGTGTGAGGACGAGAAGGTCACCGTGATGCTGGACAAAGTTGCTGAAGGTAGAGGTCTCTCAGTCAGCACTGCTTGCACATTGCACATCTTATGCTACAAAATAGTAATAAGAGTGTAATATGTAGTGTTTGCTGATATCTGACACAAACACATTATACTTAGAACCACAAGTCCAGGTACCTGGTACTTGACTCAGAGCCAGGCTGGGCATGAGGTGAGCAATTTACATAAGGCTGTTTCTGCCTCTTCAAACGCTCCTTAGAGTTAAGACAAGTATTTAAAAACTTGTGCAAAAGTTTTGTGTTAAACATTCAAAAACAGAGCTTGTTAAAGCGAGACCTTAATCAGTTAATGGTTATTTGTTCTTGGTTATTTACTCTATTAAGCATTAAGAGTTTTAAATTGAAGTATTATCATTCTGAGAAAAAATAATTATAAAATATGTTATTCTCTTGTTTCTTTCAATAAAGTAGGCAATTAGAATTTCTTGAATAATTAGCTATTGTTTCTCATCTAATAGTACATTTTATTATTTAGATTAATGTGTACATACTTAGTTAAGATAAATACACTGTTTTTGTGAAGCTCTTTCCAGTTTTTAATAATAATACAAATAATGATGCTATATTCAATATGTTAATCATTTATTGTGAATTCAAAACTTTTAGCAAGGCTTATAGGATCTTTGTCTCACTCGCGTTAATCTGGATTTAAATTCTAGTCTACCTGTCTCCTGCTGTTGGTGGTGAGATTTAGATTTTCATTTTATTCAAAGTTGCTGTTTCTTTCCAGACATGGGTCGCTGTGCGATTACAAGAGGAAGGCAGGCTCTGGAGCTGCGCAGCAACCTGTCTGAGCGGCGTTCCCTCACAGACCGCATATTGCCACTGGACAGTTCTGCCTCCGACTCGGCTCGGAATCTGCAGTGGGCCATCGCTCATGGTGAAAAATTGAAAAACACATCTGATTAAATGCTACTAAAGTTACTCATTATACTTTTAGATCACCTAATTTAAGGATGCTTTTGTTTTACCAGTTCTGCCTGAGAGTCGCTCCCTCAGTTTTGACTGCGGTGTGAAGGTCCAGCTTGGATTTGCGGCAGAATTCTCCAACATCATGGTCATCTACACTCGGATACTTGAGAAACCTGCAGAAATAGATTCCTGCAGCGCTCAGCTTACAGACTTCCCACAGGTGTGCGACTCTTGGGGTGACTTATTTTGAACCAGGATTTTTCAATGCACTTTAAAACGAAGCTAATTTAACACCAATCTAAATCTTATTTGCATCGAGTTTCAGCGATATGATAAAAAGCATCAAAAGCAGTGGATATTTGGAAGATGTCGCCTTTAGTAATGTAATGTCCTCCATTTCTATTCTAATGGAAGTTTATAAAATAGTAATTGCTCTAATTGCTGTTTTTCTTCCCAATTTGATGCTTAAATCCGTTTCTTTATTTTTATGAGCATCTTTTTTCTCTCTCTTGTACGGTAGTCACCGTAAAGTGAATCATTTCATGAACTTTCTTGATGCCCGTTAACAGCAGTTCTTGTTACCTTGTGTTGGATTTTTTTCTCCCCTATTTTTATAAATCTCAATTTTGTAAAGTTCATAACCAGAGTAGCATAGAGTAAGCTCCAAAAGCTTATTGTATCAATTAACTGTTAATAAACACAGTAACACAGACATACTGACCACTCAAAGTAATTTACAGCAAAGCAAATGTTAGCACTCTTTTCAGTCCAAAGCCATTTTGGTGTTGCTTCTACCAAATAAAATTTGATCTCGGGCCACAAACCCCTAAATGACCTTTATAAAGGTATTCACTTATCATGGTAAACAAATAATCATAAAGTTTTTTATTGTTGAATTAAAGAAACTGTTTTACTTCTGCTGTTGGTTTTTACGACCAAGATAAAAATTTTGATAGAACAAACTTAAAATTATACACATTGGTTCCGTCGGATTTAAGGTGGGATTTTATTTAATATTTCTTGCTAATATATTAAGCATCCCAGAAAAACAACATTAAACTATTTTTATATGACAGAAGAATGACTCTGTGAAGAATGTGTATAGACAGAGTTTTGTGACATTATTCTTCTTAAACTCAGTAAAACCAAAACAAAAATCATTTGGTTACTATTAGATCTTTAAAGACTTGATGAGCATCTTTAAGATGTGCTAAAACTGGGCTAGGAGTTTTTAATGTTTTTAATTTTCCTTTCACAGGAAGTGGACATTGACCTGAAGAAGAGTAACCAGGAGACTCTGTTTGAAGCTGGCTGTTTGCTGCTGATTAAGGAGGAACTCCCTTCAGTGGAGGAGCACAGTCTTTACACACGCATCCGCAGTCTGCAGAGACTCAAGGTCAGACACCTGTTTGTGTTTATATACCTTGATGAAAACATTAAAATGTCTACTTTGAAAAGCCTTCAGCCTTGAATTTAGTTCTACATTACTTTCAAGGACCCGGATGTTCTCGTAATCTTTAAATATTGACTTAATCAATTTGTTATCCAGGCTTTCCTTGGGCAATGGCTATGTTTTATTCATTTAAATAAAGAAAAGCCCGATCTTTTTGACATACAGGTTGTGGTAAAGGGTCTTAAGATCTAATTTAAATTTGGATCTTTGGTAAATTATTTGTTAAAACCCCAGCCAGGGACTGGAGATGCAAATTAGCAAGCTATTGTATACTCCTTGTGCAGAACATTAGTTGGATTCTATGTCCTTTAAGTTTATTTGTATGTCTCTGTTAAATAAAAATACTTTTAAAATGTATTGTGCTTAAAAATTGCAATATTCTTGCAATTTTTGAGCACAATACATCATAAATGTATTAAATATTGGATGACTCAAGACTTTTGCACAACATTGTGACATTTTAAAATTTACATTCATTGTGTAAAATGAAAAATCAATGACTTAATATAGACACAAAATAAATACGTAGACGAAGTAATGTTGCCACAAAATTAGAAGTCCCTTTTCCAGAGTGATTCTTTTCAGAAAGACAGACAAACCGTTAAAAGATTTTTGTTTGCATAATTTCACAAAGTTATTAAATTTATTTTGCCTCTTACCTAAAGAAGGCATTTTGCTTTTTCATTGAACTCACAGACGGACCTCGCCTTCACCGTCTGCCTTCACTACACGTATTCCAACATGGATGAAGAGGTAGTGGAGAGGCTGCCAGTCACAGTGGGCAAACCTTTGGTCTCCAAACTGAATCTCCACGAACCTCGAACGTCTAGCAGCTGCTCTGCCACCCTGGGCTCCAGCCTCGACTCCTTCAGCTGCCCTGAGAGCTCCTCCTTAGCCTCCGTCGATTCTCCCTCAAACACGTGGCCACACTATGGAGACACTGGCAGCGCAGTTTCTCTATCTGACTCTCTGACTTTTTCCAGGGGTGCCAACCTACCAGAGGAGAGTGACAGTCCCGGAGAATTGGATTCACATCAACCTCTGACTGCCAGCAAAAGCTTGCCCCAGAGCCAACTCAATGAAATTAGCTACAAATTTAGTGACATGTACAACCTCCATTCTTTATAAGCATCTTACTTTAGGGGATTATTTCCATGTTTTTCTATGCAAATTAACATTTCAAACTATTTAAGACTGAGATATTTTTACATCTAAATATAACAAATACAAACTGTATTAAACAGACTGTGAATAAAAGATAAATATCTTTGTGAATGGTGTTAATCTACACATATATTTTTGTAATTTAGTTAATGTATTTAGCTGATATTTTGTGCTAGTAGCAATGTACTTCCCCTCTTTTGTTATAAGTCTGTTCTTATTTGTATGACACTGCACATGTCAATACACTGATTTAAAGATCAAATTTAACAATTAAAATGTAGCATGACTTCATCTGCTTTGTTTCGTTTATCATCATTTTACACTCTTATGCATTTTGATTGGACGTTGCGTGTGATGTTGTTGCATACCCTTTTTGATGCAATTACAAAACCAGGATCATAACGCACACAGTAATGTGCATAAAATAATTCAGTGCTATGCATACCAACTGGAACCTATTGGAAAAATGAGAAGCCAAAAGAGCTTATTATTTTTGTTAGCAGGTTGGCAATAAACTTTATGGTTGCATTACCGATACCTGCTTATATTGTGCGTGGCTCAAAATGTCTTTTATACTACATTATCATGTTATATTAATTAACTTTGTTTACAAATAAAACTAATTCAAATGTGTATATATTTTTTTATTTTTATGAAATTTCTCCAACATTAATCTCCTTTCTATCTCACATTTTCTACAAATTAAAATAATGTTCTATTGTTTCATTTTCTCACACAGTATTAACAATTTCCTGTATTGTGTTGCCATATTTTAAAAAGTGAGCTGTTGAGTGCAGTGTATCCATATCGTAATCGAACTAAAAGTTTCCCCTCTTTTCGGTTTCTCTTTGCTGCTCTTTTGAATCCTAGCCTTTGTTGTCTTCATCCCATTCTTTCTGCCACAATTTTGGCTTATTAATAACTTTTGCTTCTATTTACTGTAAAATTGACTTGCCCTGTTGTCTTCTTTGCTTCCATGTCTGCTGCTGTTTCGTTTTCCTCAATGACAGATGTGTCTTTTGTCATGCCTGTATTAAGCCTTTTGACCCTTGTGCTATTGTCATGTTTACCTGTAGAAAAAAATACCCTAAACTCCTTTTCTTCAACCTTTTTCTTAATCAAAAAGAGTGTCATCCTGTTGATCGTCATTTTGTATTGTATAACAAAAATACATGATATAATATGAATTAAATTTAGTTAAATTGCAAAATAACAGATTGTTTCATCATGCAAAATAGATTTTGGATTTAAAATTCAGTTAATTTTAGTACTATGCATACTTTTGTTGGTGTGGGTCATTTCTGACACATCGGACAAGGGAAGTAAACAGAATGTTAGGATCGCACACAGGTCAAGGTGAAACTGTCTCAGGAGCATGCAGAGCTCCTTTAATAAGCTAATTTTGAGCAGGGAGACATTTGACCCTTGAGGAATGCTGTTTGAGACCCCTAGCTTCGGAGACCATAGGTCCGCAACAGAACCTGCAGGGGTCTTTTGACCTTCTCTTAATGACTTTGGTTAAAAATGATAAAGAAAAAAATGTAAACAAATAGAAAACAAATGTATTTTAATTAAGTAATTGCATGAATTTCAAACAATACAAAAAGTGCCACAAATATATATTTTAGACCTGCTTATCTTAGGCTGAGAACTATATTTCTTTACAAAATTTTTCCACAAATGTCAACAGGAGAAAAAAATATATTTGTCCACTTTTTTGCAAAAGTGTATTTTTTATTTTAAAAACTTAAAGTAAATGGAATGGAGTCATTTGCCGCACTACATGAGTTTTATTTAGGGTAGAAGAAGACTGTCTCGACTTTATTGCGCATGCGCATTGACGTCATCTCGGCTTCAGTCGTTCGCCATTTTCCTGTGGGTTTTTGCAAGTCCGCGGCTCTCATTTGTGAGGCGGCGCTAAAAAAAAACAAAACAAAAAACACACACACGTTTCTTTCGAGGACTGTTTAAAGGGTTTGCAAATATTTTCGGGCAGAACTATGGCAAATCCGTTTGGTGACGTGGATATGCCGGAGGGCGCAGAGGTCCGCAAGCTGTCTGAGCTGCGAGTCATCGACCTAAAGGCCGAGCTCAAGAAACGAAACCTCGACACAACTGGCGTGAAGAGCGTGCTGTCGGAGCGCCTCAAAAGGGTACGCTCCTGTCCCGTTCAGCGAAACTAGCGCCGTGTTAGGAAGGCAGCGTTCTACAAAACGCGCTCGTATTTCTGTTGAGCTTTGCAAGCGCATTTTTCGAAGCTCAGTCTTAACGGAAGGCTATCACCGCTAGCTTGCCGGGCTAACTGATCTCGACAGTCTGCAAATGTGTTCTCACTATTGATCTGTTTTTACTTTATTATTCGCAAACAGGCAATTGAGGAAGAAGGCGGGGATCCAGATCAGATTGTCGTCGTTCCGGACTCGAACCCTAAAAAGTCCATACCCAAGCGAACCGCCAAAGGTAAGACAGCTGCTGGAAGCGCAGCTAGCCAACGTCTACCTCATTCAAATGGTTGGATCAATCAGGCCTGCAGCTGCTGATTCACTGAGGGAATATTAGCTGTCAACCACCCTACACACTTGGTATTTTGTCTGGTAGATATGAAGAGTGTTAAAAATTGTTCCAATAACCCAGATTTTTACCCTGTTCTAAAATGCAATGTAGTCTTAGAATTTGCAGATAGTGTTTTGTTTTATTTTGTTTTATTGTACTGTACCACCTTCTCATGTCTGCATGAAAAAACAAATTTCTTCCCCAGATTCCCGGCAAGACGAAGAAGCAGAAGAAGTTCCTTTGGAGGAGGATTCACATGATGGACAAGTAAGTTTATTTTTGAAAAGTAATTGTTTTTTAAAATGCTGCTCCAATTGCAGAAATAGTGTGATTGATTTTTATATGTCCTTTTCAGGAAGACTTTCTGGACCACGAGAACATGCAGGACGACCACGAGAACATGCAGGACATGGACATCCTGGACATGAACGTTCTGGATGAGACCGAGAATGAAAGCGGGATGCCCGCTGGGGACCCTATTGACGATGAAGGAAATTTTGACAGAGACGACGACGCGTTGCTGGAGGATGAAAACGACTTCACCGAGCTTGGGTCAGGGCAAGAGTCTCAAGGTCCAGAGGTAAGAGGATACGATTGTCAGCTTAATTTGCAAAGATTTTTAATCGGAATTGCTCAGATTTTGCTTCTCATTTAACAGTTTGGCTGGGGCGACATGTTTAAAGGGGATGAAGATCTAGTAAATTAAGTTAGAAGCTTGAGATCTGCCACTGTAGTATTGCAACTGTGTGGATAATTGTGCAGGAAAGAGAACTGAATGTGGAAGACTGTTTGTTTTCAGGCTGTTCTTTATTCAATTTCTTTTTCAATAAAAATCAAAATTTCTTGAAAGCAAGAAGAATTTTATTGTTAATTATATTCACACAGCTTTCTCTGGTTTTCACTGACCACATCAGAAGTAATAAAACTTTGTCCAGTGTAGATGGTAAAGAACGCAAGGAAACATTTTTTGTGTGTGTACTGAAAAACATTTCCAGAGTATCATACCAACCTCTGGAAAAATGTAATGCGTTTAATATAGGAAAGGATTCAAAATGTTGAAGAATCTGGTTTAAAGTCCATCTGAAAGTTCTGAAAAGATGTTAAAGTCATCACCGCCTCATCAGTCTGTTTTGTTTTCTTTCAGAATCCAGATGACGGCGCTGAAGAAGGACTGACAGGTACTGTAGCAGAAGGTCTACCAAGGGATCTTTTTAGTGTCAAGTTTGGATTTGCAAACAGTTTAGTTACAACCAGAAGGAGAGACTGGAAGCCCAAAGGAAATTGCTGATTTTGTGCCAGAGGTTTGTTGACCTATTGAAATAAAAATCAACACTGCTTGAAAAGGACAGATCATTTGGTTTGATTTGTTCAAACAGTTGTTTTTAACAATCTTATGCACTTGGTCAGCAATTGCATTTTCCTTATGGTCAGGGCCGACTGAGCCATTGCTTGTAGTGTTTATAGGTTTGCCACATGAAGACTAAGATGAAGAAGACCCCATAAGATTTGTGTGATTCATGAATGATCTGGACGAAACGCCTCAAGTTGAGCTGACGTTCTGTCGAAAAAAAAACGTGGATCCCTGGATGCGCCTTGCTGGAAGAAGATGGATCTGCAGCGAGCTTTGGCTGCTGCTGCACAGCTGGTTTTGTGGCTCTTATCAGCGCTGAAAGCGATCTGTGTGTTTTGGATCAGGTGACTAGTGCGAGGAGGTTCTCCTCGAGAGACGAACCAAGGTGCTTGCCGCACCTTAGTTGATTGGTTGTTCTGCAGCCTTTGGGGTCTCTTCCAGTCTCTTTGTTAGGGTCTTCTTCTTCGTTTTAATACTTCATTTTAAGAGCACAGCCAGGTGGCCATGAGTTTCGTAATCCAGGCCTTGCCAGTTCCTCGTTAAGCATTGATGTGTTTCAGAAGTGATTAAACTCTGTGCCATTCTATTCCTGTTAAATCCGTAGAAAATAACAAAGTAGCCGGGTCTTGTTTATCAGAGCCTCTAAAAGAAGACCAGGACCAGAGCCCCGAAGAAGAGCTAGCTGCCGGAGGGGAAGACGGCGTGTCCAACGCTGGTGCCAAGTCCAGCAGCGCTGCATCTGGAGATGGGGATGACGCCAAAGAGACCGGGGATGTGAATACTGTCCCAGAAGAGACACTTGACTCTGAAAACAAAAGCTCACAGGCTGTTAGTGTAAGCGAACAGGGCAGCTCGGGTGAATCTGTTGATTCAGAAAAGGGGTCTAAGAAGGGTGAGGAGGACGAGAAGACTGTGGATAAGGCTGCCGTGGATTCAACCTCAGCACTGAAAGAGTCCTCTTCAGTAGAGGGCGATGATCAGAACAAGAGGTTTGTTGCTTTCTGTCTACTAGAAACCAAAATGGCTGTCTCTGTTGCATTGGCCCTTTTGTGATTTCAAAAATTTGGATGCTCTTTGGAGGTAAAAAAAAATTCCTGCGGAGTTGAGATGATTTTGTCATTCCCTGCACTCACCTGTCCCGCTTTACTATTTTATGAGTAATGATTGTGAGAGTGGATTGCCATTTATTCACCGTTAAATCACTTTACTGAAACATGAACGCTTTATAACAAAAGTGTAAATATGTCAGGAGTTCCGGTGTGCTCTGTTATTTTTGTTTGTTCACATTTTTTTCCTTTCTTTCCAGTTCTGAAGAAAAAGACGCCAAGACGGAGACAAAGGATGAAAAAGGTAAAGGATTTTTTCCCTCTCTCTGTCATTCAAGCCT